TTGCACAACTGTGTTTTGAATTCTCACTTAGTATAAGCCAAATTTCCCATTTCTCAGTACAGATCTGTGATCATGGTTGTTGTACCAGTTTTGTATAAATGAAAGGCTTCCCATTATCTGTCTTTCAACACTGCAATTTTACCAGGTCTTCAGATTGTGCATCTCTGCTAGTGGCCTTTGACAGCTTTCTCACAGCTGCTTAAATGAATCTGGAGCCTCAGCCCGCACCTCGAATGCCCACATCAGATGCACGGCACTTCCCCTCGCGCACAAACATGACGACTGCAATATGCACATCAGCGTTGCGAGCGCTTAGAAAAATCTGGGTCTAAGTGTGAAGGTTGAATTTCTTAAAACCAGACTCAAAGAAATTTAGAAACCAAAAGCACAACTGGACTTTTTCCAGCTTGCGGGGACCTGCTGAATCCCAGAATGAGCCTCTACTTTACAACAGGGAACAGAGGCCACCTGAGAACTGAAGGCAAAGAGCCCTCTCCCTTTCAGGAACAGTGCTGAGCTGCAGCTCATCCTCAACACAGGTCCCAGAGCACAAAGTCATCTCACAACCATCACAGTTTGTGCTGAAATTCTTCTATCCTCCTGAACTCTCTCTTCCTTTACAGCAAAGAACTTTTTTTTTTTTACCATCAATTTTTCACTGATTTTTTTTGCAGTAAAATAAAATTAAAAAAAACATAAACTTGAAGTAAACGGAAGTTAGAGAAACATGATAGCATACAAGAACTGTGAGCACATCACAACACTCCAACATACAGATCCTCTTCCCACAGCAAGATGGGATGAATTTATGATGGCAAAAGCGAATTCCCAGCAAGGATGAATAAGAAGCAGCATTTTCAAATAACATTTTAAAAATCAGTAGGGATAATTAATCACTTTGATGTTTCAGGAAACATGTTCTTTGATGCTGTGTCAAAGAATACTGCAAATAGCGAAGAAGTGGGAGACACTGACAACTGTATAAACTAGAACTTTATTTGTGTAGTGGGAAGGTGAAGGAGCTATACCTTTCCTTTTTTTTTTTTTAGGATGTGCCATTGTTTGAACAAAGAGATCATAGGATAAAGATATCTGTTCATTAAACAATATTCTTATTCCCTTTTACTGATTCTATGAATGTCCAAGTCAATATTTATCCATTAAAACACTAAAACAGCACAAATAAATTCCAGGTGCTGAGGGACAAGAGGAGGTGTTCTTCTCTGTTTTTTTTTTGTTTTCATTTTGTCGTTTGTTTTGTCTTTTGAAGAGGGAGACTAATTTGTCTTCCATTCTCATTCTCAAGTTAGCTAACACTGCCTGGGTTTATCTCTAGGACAGAAAAGAACTCTGGTGAGGTGGGCGACCTATCTGCTCAGGCTTAAAACCCATGAAGTTCAAAAGCCATCAATATCCTCACAACAGCTTCTATCTTATTTGCGTGTAACACAGTCATGGCCAGATGCTCTAACCAGGAGCAGCATGAAGGGTTAAGTCTTATAGTGTTGAAATGGACTGAGCCATCACAGAGCAATGCAGCAAATATTAAAAGATAACCTCATGCAGGCTGTAATGGCCAAATCCTACCTCTGCCTCTGGAAGCAAGAACTGTGGAGTGACTCTAAGAACCCTTCACTTCTTTGTGGTTGGGAGTGGAGGGAAGACAGGTCTGGACACAGCCATATCTTACAGAGCTATCCTACACTGTGCATCTCCCATATCCAGGCAGAGTGTTTGAAGCATCAAAGTGGATAATCAACTACATCAAAAAAAACATAAGAAAATCCCCAAGCAAGTGATATGGGTATAAACAAGCCTCCTGCTTCTTGGAAAGGTGACACCATCACAAATAAAATCAACTGAGGTGATGACACACATATGGAGAGATGGAGGGTGAACAGAATAAATTTAGAAAAAAAATGGTTTTTAAAAAAAAAAAAAAAGGCCTTCGCCTTACCAAAGAAATCATCCCGTACTATGAGAGCCATCCCATACGAGAAAGGGAACAGAAAGAGATGGGGACAAAGGGGGAGAAAGGAAGAGAAAAAAGCAGCCATTAAGTACCGATCTGTAAACAGCAAACAGTGCAGCTCGTCAGTGTGTGCGAGGATGTGTGCGTGTGCTGCCAGCATATGCCGTGATGCTCAGCAGGAGCTCATCTACACCCTGTTCTGCTTCAGCCCAGTCTAGCAGGGATTTACACCTGAGATCTCAGAACAAGCTCAACTTGAGCTCATATTTTTCTTCCACCTTCATCGTTTCCCCTGGTGAAGCCACCTTTGGGCTCGCCACCCCCACAACAAAGGTACTGAACAGACATTATGAATACGGCAAGGGAAAGACAAGAGGGAGAGAAAAATAATAGGGTGAGAGGGAAAATAACAAAGCTGTTACTTGGGCAGACCCAAATCCATTTTCTAACTTGGACAAATCCCAGACTAAACTTCATGGGAGGTTTTTTGAGAGAGGACTGTGACAAGGTGGCTTAAAGCAAAACACAGTTTATGCTAAAAGAAAGGTCAATATAATCCCTTCTTTTAACTTACAAACCCAGCACGAAGAGGCACCGAGTCCTCCCTAGCCTGTAGGCAGAGACACACAAGGGAGCTCATCGCTACCTCCATTGGCTCACAGCTGTTATGCCATGTCTTCTAACACACTGCATCTGTTAGAGTCACCTGCCTTTATTACAGAGAAGAACTAATCCAACTTGCACTGAAATCAAAAGAGATCCCCTCAACTTCACCAGAAGTTGCATTAGGCCCCAAATGTTTTATGGAAATGTGAAAGCTGCATGTGCAGAGCCTTGATGGTTGAGCATGGCTCTAGCACAGTGCAGCTCTTTCGCAAAAATAAGAGATGATAGAGATAGATCACCTCAGAGTTCTGCCCAGAAGACAAGGCTTCAGCAAAAGCAGAGGCTCTGCCATTCTCTAATTTATCAAGAAAACACTTTAATTTTACAACAGCTGCTCCAGAAGAGGGCCAGTATGCATTAATTGACCTACAATGGCAACAGGCAAGCAGAGGGAGTCCTCAAAACTGTGTTCAGTTGGAGGAAAATGGAAAACCTAATTTTGATTTCTGTACCTTCCTGAGCTCTTCTCAATATACGATTCTGGTCCTGACAAAAAGAAACTTTCCACCCATAGAAAGAGAGACACATCAGGGTTTTCCCAAGACCCTGCGTGTCAAGTCAGTATAATACAGTGGAGCAAACCAGCAGAAAGCCACAAAAAATAAAAAAATAAAAAGGCTTATCAAAATGCAGCAGCATGTGAGCACAAAGCAGCCACATCCCACTGCCTGGGGACCCACCAGGGCAAGGCAACCAAGCAAGGCAAAGGTGGGACCAAGTCTGCAAAGCCAACCGTGGGTGGACAAGAGCAGGGGAGTATCACACGTGTATACCACGTCATTCAATCTCGACAAGGAAAAAAAAACAATGAAGGAAACTGAACGGAGGAGAGATACACACCTGAGAACTCCCCTACGGGCCATGTCCAGCGAAGCACAGAGAGACAAGGGAAAAAAGGAAGTGAAAAAAGGATCAATCAGTGACTGAAACCAACAAAAATTTTGTTTAAAAAAAATTAACAATGATTCAGCCATTTCAATGTCAAAAGGCATGAAATAGTAAGGACAGGATCTGCCATGGCTGCAGATGGCATGATTCTACATACAGGACATAAAAGAAAATCAAGGAAAGGTAACCCGCGGCACAACTGGAACCATATGCCTCAGCCGCCCCCACTTTTCAGACACCAATCTGAGGAGATCCCATCTTGCTGGACTGGATAAACCTGTATTTTCTCAATCATGTACCATTAAACACAGGTTAATGGCTAGTTTCCACTACATTCTCATGCCCCCTCCCCTTGTGAGCCTAAGATAAAAGCTTTTTTAGTAACCAGATTTTCTCAGAATAAATGTGTACTTCAAGATACTCCGGTCTGCAAAAGACAAGCAGTTGTGTTTAAACCAGTTCTTGCCAATGTAGTGCTGGCACTGGTGGAGTAATCTCATTTCAGCTTCTTTATAAAAAGCTATATATAAACTTACCGCTAACACAGCTGAATTTCTGTCTTCACCACAAAACCCCTGTTATTTGAAGGGGAGGTTTTAGTCTCAAAGCAAAAACAGGCAGGTGTCCTAAAAACTCAAAGGAAGCACCTCCCCACAGCCAAATGGCCAGTTGGACTTTGTGTCCTGATTCTTGGGGGACAGTGACAAACAGGAAGTGGGAAGAAAAGGGGGAATGTGATCAGGATCAGTCTTGCAAAATCTAAAATTAACATGGGAGTATGCATAAAAATAGGCCAAATAGATAGCAGGACTGTTCATACAGCCATAGTGAGAAAGAAATCAGTTAAAATTACTCCAGGTAAATAACTATTCTTCCATATTTTTTTTTCCAAACTACATCCTCTATGAACTAATGTATGTTAGGCAAAATTAGTTAAACAGACTTTACTTGCAATTTTATAATTGAAAATTGCAATAGGGAGTGCCAATTTTGCACCAAGGGATGTTGGTAGCTTTGCAGATATCCAGAAGGCAAGACTGAGATTTGCCAGTCAAGAAGCGTATCTTCTAGGTACTGCCCAAGGGTAATTTCCATAATCTGCTTTTATTTTAAAGTCTTCTTTAATGACGTTTCTCTTCAAGAAACTGAATCCAAAAGGCTTAATAATACACTTCCAACACTGATTTCCAAGCTCTGAGAGGAAGTATCCAAATTTCATTTATACCAAATTGCTCTTTTTAGAGAAAAGTTATCTCCAAGTATGACTTAGAAAGAAAGAGAACTTTCAGCTTGTGCATGTCACTGCTTCCATCATGTCCATATAGCACAATTTCCTCTGCTACTTTTCAGATCCAAAGATATGGAAGAAAAAGAACAATTTATCTAACAAGAAAGGCAAAATTGCGAATAATGTTCACAGCTCTGTCAGTACTGAGATGTAGCCCCTAGTCTCCAGCTTTAGCAGAGATTCTTAGGGCTTTCTGTTGAACACAGTCAAAGAATATACAAATTATAGGGATTAATTAAATTAACATTATGTCAAGAAAAGCTAACTAATTTCACCCCATCTCGTCTTCCAGGCTTGCAAAGGGATAGGAAAACCACCCCCCTCCAGCTCTTCTGCTGGCCCAGCACCTAATAATCTCCACAAGTTCTGCTGCTGTGCTCCAAACCATAAAATTGTCCCAGGGAGCAGCATAGAAAAGCTGGTAAATGGCATCTCACATCATATCCTTTGAGAAGCTGGCAGCAAAGCTTTTCTTCAATCTATTTCTTCAGCAGCTTTGTGTAAGGGAACTTGGCACATAATGAACAACACAGCAACTTTCACAGTTTTTAAATTCTTCATCATTAGCAGATCATCCCAGTTATACCCATAAAGAAAAGGATAAATGCACAGAAAAATGAGCTTTTGGGGCCTGGAAACATAGGGCTGTTGACTACAGTAGAATAGTCCATTTGATAAAGCCATCAGCCAGCACTTTCTAGTGTTAGACAGGGAGGTGGCTGCAGATCTCCCTACAAAGCATTTTATTTATGCAGGTATAATTAAGTTCTTGCTCTTCAGAATGAGCTCTGAAATGCTTTTATTAAATGGATTTTCTCAGTATGCTTCATAAAAAGAACAAAGAAAACATCCCCTGTCTCAGTAAGGTTGAAAACGTGAGACCCGTTCAGAGAAGGGGTAACAGGACACTAACACTAGCTAACATTAGACACTATCTCTAATAATAACAGTGCTAGGCTGTAGAAAAAGACTGGTCAGTCCCCTCCTTCAGCGTTATGTCATTTGTGAATAGGCTAAAAAAACATTTTCTCTGCAGCAACATAGTCTTTCAAAGTCTTGATACAAGGATCATACTCAAAGGTGATGTAAATATCTTCACAATTCTAAGTCTTGCCAAGATGAGCTGCTGCACTTCTGTATCATGACTCAGCTGGTTCTGTTCTGAATTTATATCCAAAAGCTCTTCAGTAAAAACTGTCTTTCCAGATCCAATTTGAGGTAATCCAGAAGCAGCGGTTATTGTCAGTAATCACCAGAAAGGAAAGCCATCCTTTCAAAACAGATCTCTTGCTACTTGATGCATGTAAGGCACTTTGTCCTCATGTCCCCTAAGGCTCCTTAAATTGAGCAGCAAACAAAGTTGATAAAGTTCAAAATTGTGTAGATCCCTATCAGCTGCCTGCATTGCCTGAGCATCCAAACCTCACTCATATTGTCCTGATTCAGAAAAACATTCACCGGGACAAAGAACATGCTTAAATTCTGCTATGAATTATGGTCTACATAATCAGAGCCCAACACCAAAAGGTGTGGTAAGGGAAGGACTGCAACCAAAACCAAAGTTGCTTCTCTGATTGCTTCAAAGTCCTAGTCAGAATGTGGAATATAACCACACTTTGGATATGACAGACAAGCTCTTTTCAAGATCAGCCTAGAAAGTGATTATATTCTCAGATAAAAGGGTATAAAAGGGTAAAAGCCACAATTTGGACCATATCATCTCCGTATGAAAACAAGGAGCTATTGTTTGTTAAAACTTCAAAAGTTGGGAAAAGGAGTTATGTTAGTGCAGACATCAAATGAAATCTTTATCCTAAGTGAAGCTGCTGTTGTGCCAAATTACTGGGGAGAAAAAATGGGCGAGGAAGGGGAAGGAGCAAGTTTTAAAGCATTTGTGCAGGAGATCCTACACAAAAATAACTTATGAACATAAAGACAACCCAAATTAACGCTACCCAAACATTTAAATTAATTTCTTAGCACGTTATTACTGTACTGCTGGTACATATGTCAGTCACAGCATGCCCCAAATTTCATGCCACTTTAAAAGGACACAGATCCAAAGCTCTGAAAAAAAGAGAGAATTTAAATACTTCTAAAAACTCCACATAATTTTCACTGCACCAGAGAGAACAGAAGAGTTCTAGCATTTTTTTTTTTTTTTTACCTAGCAGATCTGCTCCTTCATCAACATCCCCAATAACCTCGGACCCTGCTGTGGAAAGTTCATGATACAGAGAGTCTGTGTTGATGCCGAATGCTTTGTTCACAATCCCCTGTGTCGGGCTGTTGTTGGAAGAAAAAAAAGCAAGGACTCTTGTTACTTGGCAACATTTAAGCTAGAACATTCCTCTCTGAAATGCTGAGCATCTCAGACCATTGCAATTAAAACCTTGAGAGCTTTATACCTGTGCACCATGGGCTCAACTCAGTGAATGTATTAAGAAAACATACACACACTTTATTCTTTGCATCAAGGCATTTGAATGGACTTATGCACAACTTAAAAGCTGACCTAGCTGATGCCCTTCAAAATCGTAATCATTTCTGACTACTATTTGACAGAAAACTTTCTACTCACAGAGGCTCTCAAGTCTCACTTTTAAGACTGTGCAATGATTCCCACATGCCTAGATAGCCCCATCTAGAGTACAAAATCAGATAAGCATTCAAACAACAAGACTTTTCTTTTTCCTTTCACAACTTGTAAGTGAAATTAGCCTGAAAGGTTATGTTTCTTTGAGTGAGTTCACATGCACTGTACAAATCCATATTCACGTATCAGTAAAACACATTTCAGTAAAAGTAAATCAAAGAGAAGTTTGGAATTTGCAGATCAAATGTTATTTAATCCTACCACAGGGGAGCATGTTCCCACATCTTCATCCCTTCTCCGCCATCAAAAATCTTGTATTTCTAGGCTGTCTAATAGCTCAAGCAGAAAAGAGCACAGTAACAGAGGGGGAAGCTTGTTTCTCTTCCCTGTAGCTTTCACTCTCTAGCTGCATCACAGATTATTCTGCCCAAACAGCTCCTGGTGAAGCAATGTTCTCCAATCCTTTCTGAGCAGGTTCAGACTGATCATCAGGCTTAGTTCATCAGACACTTCCATCTTCCACACACAGAGCTGGCTCAGATACCTAGATTCCTCCTGCTGTTGATTCTAAAAATTGCCTATATATCCTATACATTCTGAGAGCATCTTAACTGCAAATACAGTCTAGTCCAAATTATGACCACATTATACTGCTTCACAACGAAAAAATGCATCTTCTATTGCTGCCGATACCTGTTCCCGGTGCGTTCCAAGCGGGGATCTTGACACATATCCAGCTCTGGGGTAGAGTCTATGATGTCCTGAACATCGGACCACTCATCGCTGCTTCCCATCCCTAGGTAAGACAATACATATATGATCTAGAGGATCAGGACTCTCAAGGGATGGTGCTCCCAGAAAAGACGTGTGGGGCTTTGAATATTAAGACTTCAAAACTTCACAGATTATGTGCAAAGTGTTGAGAAAAAAAAAAGGGGGGGAGGTGATCATCTGGAATTACAAAGCCACCAGTTCTGTGAAGACGGCCTTCACAATTGCAGAGCATTCATCTCATAAGACAAATAAGTTTAAGTGAATCCCCATGGGGGGATACATGGGTGCACTCAAGGTCACTGGGTTGGATTGCCAGCACAATGTGATGGTCAGAAATTCTGCATATATTTAAATAACTTCAGAATTAAGTTTCTGCCTCTCAATAAAAACCCTTCACTTGCAAAGCACCTTTGGCCAAGATCTAAGACCAAACAGTAATTTTATACCCTCTTCACAGCAATTATTTAAATTATGAATCAGTACTGAGTCATTTTACTAAAATAATCTGCCAACACAAATTCTCAAACTCACAAGTGGTTTAGATAACCATTGCAGTGGATTCACTGAGAAATTGCATTATACTATATATTAAATCTATTCTGTTTTTGTATAATCTATTGCCTGAAATCAATATTCAAAGACAGTAAGAACTGACAGTTATCACATTGTAAGTATTACTAACATTACCAAACTGTTCAAAAGCCCAGATTAACACCTATTGTCAGAAGTTGTATGAATATGGGGTGCGTTCAAATATAAAATACTTGAAGAATTAAAGACTCATTTGTAAACTATATTTGTCCCCTTACTGTGTCAGATGTGAAATTTTTGACCTTTCTCAACAGCCCTAGCAGCCAAACACATAAAGCAAGGCCCGGACAACTTGAGTGATTTTGTTGTTTTAGGCTGGCATCATGCACCAGTTGGCAACAAGTGCCTTGTTTGAAGACAAAGCTTGATGTGTATCTATTGCCAAACTAGAGATCTATACCCCACTGGTTTTCAGGCTCAGTTATAGAGCATTCCTTCTCTTTACTTTTTCAAGTTGAGAAGCTTTTCTGCAAATGCAATTGAGTACCTTTTTTTGCAGGTTCTGCTCCTAGGCATTTGCATCACTGAGACAATTATTCATGCACAAAATAGATATTTGAATTATAATTATCTAAGTCTATCTAGAGCATGGAGATCTGATCCTACATTACATGTGAGAAATAGCTGAAAGGTTGAATATGCAGAGCACTTACAAAAGATACAATTATCAACCTTAAGCAGATCCAGATACTTTAACCAAAAAAATACAAATTTCCCTCCGTCCAAGGACTTCAGAGTTGCACACCTATATAAGAGAGCAGATTTTGGCCCAGGAAAGTCCAGGAAAGCTATTGATAGTAAACTGCAGCAACTGTCAAAGTGACTGTAAGGACAATTATTTACAGGGCATAAGAACTATAGATCTCTGAACCCCATGGAGAAATACTGTCAGGCAAACTTACCTCTGAAGGAAATCCTGGAACCATGATCACTGGGAACTACTATAGCAATTTTCCTTACCTGTGTATCTAGTTTTCAATTATTCTTGTTATAAAGAAATCCTGGTCTCTAGCACAAAGACATCCAACTTCAATTTACCTAGTACTAATCCTTATGCTGACCTGCCTTGGCCAAAATCACAAAACACGTAGCAATTTAGCAGTTGGCTATGCAGAAAGCATATGCTTTTATAAATAATTGGTATCTGTCAGATTGTGCTCTTTGATCAGGAAGCCCCTCGACAGCTAGTATAAACACAGAAAAGGACTCAACTCACAGCAGTTCTCAGCCAGAAGCTGTAACACAAGATGTTATATGCTGTTTTATAGGTTTAATGTGACTCAAAGTCAGCAGGGGATCCAGGGAACCTCCTCCGTGTTACAAGGATAAAAATGACCCTCTGGTTCAGACATCAACCCTGGAGACCAAGGCTCAATCAGGGTTTTCCTGCACAGACTTTCTTTATCATCTTCAGCTAGTTTTACAGTCCTTTTGTATGCAAGTTAGTGACCTGTGAAGCAGATCATTTCTCATTTCTGCTGCAAACATAAATACAAAACAAGCTAGGGGCTGCTTAGACCCTACGTTACTAGAACTATACTAAACACCACAGAGCACAGGTGCCTGATTTCCCTAGCAGACATCATGAATTCAAATCCTTAGAGGACTCCAGCAAGTAGAGGAAACTAACAACTGTATCTTCTAAAGATTTCAGAAGTTTCTTATGCTGGAAACAGAGTAAAGAAATCAGCTTATTTAGCTTTGAAAAACACAACGGAAGAAGGATGTAATTGCTACTTATAAATACATCAGGGTATGGGATAAACACAGAGAGGGGAAAACAACTATTTAATTTGACTGATAGTTTTTCCATATGAACAACAGGGTATAAAATACTTGCAAATAAATTCAGGCATGAAATTAAATGGAAGTTTTTTTAAAACTATCAGAATGATGAGGTCCAGAAATAGCTCTCCAAAAACCCATTTAGACTAAGATGGGACTCAACTGTTCATGAAAGAGGTTTTGTGACACAGATGAGTGCAACCGCAGGGAACTGAACTGCAGTATAGGGAATAACCTATTCCCATCCTGATACTCATGAAACTAGCTAGGAACTAACTGTAGTACTGTGCTTTTTTTTTTTTTTTTTAAATTGTCTATCCATAACACAGTTCACTAACTTAGCGTTTTGACCCTCATATATCTTTCTAAGAAAGCCTGCCTCAAATTCTATACTTATGAAGCTGATTACCCCTCAGGTTCCCTTTTTTTTTTCCTGTAACTGACAGACACAAGCACTGTGTAGTTAAGTACTTTAGTGATTAAATCCAGTTTCCATACCTATGCTGACGTTCCTCATCTCCTGCGTGACCTGGACTTCCATGTTCCGGCTGTTCCGCTTTTCTCGTGCCCTCTTATTGCTCTTGGCTGTGCCATTGTATTCACTGACAGGCTGGATGCTCTCATTCAGGGGGGTGACAGCAGCAGAGGGCACAGATGACGTGGGAGTGTTGGACTTGGTTCCAGTGGTGCTCGGTGTGGCAGCTGCTGAGGACTGTCCAGATTCGGACATTTCATCTTGGGGGCACTACGACAATTCCAGGGTGGGAGAAGAACAGAAAGGGAAAAGGAGAGCTATACATTTCAGTTAATTTCCCATGTGTTGGTTATGGCTGCCTTAAAGCATTATGGCCAAATGAGTCTCATCCATCACACCAACTAATGTCCAGAGCTTACTGGTCATGTTTGGCACTGCAACCACAATGAAGCAGTGAGTTCTCGTGCTGAACTCAGCAAGCAAATTCTACCTATTTAAGGACTGATACCCTCTTCCTCTACTGCTTAGCACTGGTCTTCAGAAGCAACAGCATGTGATCTGCTCATCATGTATCTCAAGGAAGATGGTCTTATCAACGCTGAAAAGCACCTGCTATTCCCACTGACTACAGTGGAAGTATTAGCACTTGTAGTAAGCCAGGCCAGTGTTTTCCAAGACTGAAAGGCAACATGGACACTGCTTGGAAAGGATCTGAACTGGCCTTTTATAGGTTCTGGATGTTGTCATTACTATAAGTCATTAAACGACTGGGCTGATAGCCCTTTGAAAGAACAGAGAAGTATTTTTGACACTAAACTGCAGAAGCAAAGTGGATACAAGGCTGGGATGATCTGAGTTTGCTACATGGGAGACCTATATCCACCTAGCACTTTATGCAGAAGCCAGCCAGGCATGGATCCAGCTTGACAACACAGTAGAAGCAGATATGATCTCCCGACTTCAAAGTGACAGAAAACATGACCCAAGAATTCAAAAATCAGAAGTTTACAAATTAACACATGAGATGGATTTCCAGTATGAAATGTGCATGAATGGGTCTTAGATTTGCAGACATGACAGCCCCATTTCTTGGGATACCACCTCTTGGAAAACAAGGGAGGCTTTAAGGACTGTCAGCATTTAACACTGTGACCCTTGTTTGTCACTTAAAGCAGCACTGCTACAGTCCAGTAATTAACTTCCTAACCAATAGAGTAATCACTCTCTAACCCAAATGAGATCTTCCTGTTCTTCATGTAGCCCACTCTAATTAGTTCCTGCAGGGAGATGACAAAATAAATTTTCAGCGTTATATGTGATAATGAGTTGCAACTGGGAGCAGTGACATTCAGAAGCTGGACATGCAGACCCAGCTACAATCTTTACTATTTGCCTCTCCTCTCTTGCACAATTGATAGGACGCTTCTGTTCAGAGGCTGCTTCACGCCTCCCAGCCTTGGAGCTGTGATGCTGTTTCACTTCACTAATTTGGAAGTTTCATTCTGTTGTTCTAATAACTTCATAATGAGACAAAACAAAAAATCAAAATGGGATGAGAGAGAAGACTGAAAAATGGTGACTTAACCCTTTGCAGCCATCTTTTGTAAACCTGGACTCTTATTAACATATTCCTTTAATTAGAATGTTTTCTGTGTGCATAATCTTAAAATATCCTGTTGTACATTGCACTATGGAAGTCAAAGGTCTTACACTGTATCTGTGCCTTTACAGTGAAAAAGATCATTTTTAAAACTATATTGCCATTAAATATGATCCACATTTTTGGCATATTGTTCTCGGATTGTCAGCCCAAACAACACCCACATTCCCGCACGGACTTTCAAATCATCTCCTTGCACATTTGCTGATTTTTAGCATCAAAACTGATGGAGACATTTTACGTAGGCTGCTACATGTGAAAACCACACTTCCCACCTCTACTTCATATTCAGGTTCCAGGAACTATTTTTCTAAGGTGCAAAGAAAAAAATACCAAACCAGAAGCAAATATGACCCACAAAAGCCTTGTGCTACTTCAGCTGCAATCTACCCACTGTGCTTTCTAATTTACAAAGGGACAAAGAGTACCAAGTGTAAAGTGCAATTATAAAGTCTCTTTACAAACAAAACTCCTCTTGTTTGCAATTCAGAGCTGTTCTTGTACCCTCTCTATGCCTGTAGGATGACCACAGTCTGTGAGGATCTTTGCACTGTAAAACAGACCCTCAGTTGGGCCCAGGGTCATTCCATGTTCTTAGGAGCGATGATGTCATTCAGAAATGCTGCATCATCAGTGTCTGTAGGGCAATACTTGTATCAGAAACATACCCTGTGAC